GGGCAGCAGATGATCGGACCGGTCGGCGACACGGAGAGCCTGAAGTGAACACCCCATCGCATTCGCACGCTGTGCGATCTCCCCATCAGCTACGCAAACCAGACTGTACATATAGACGTCAACACCCAAGTGTAGCCTATTTTACTGCACCACTTGTTCAAAAATAATTCTACCTGGTAACCGTACTGATGGCAATTGCGTCACTATTCCTATATCGGTTCCGTTCAAATATGGATGCCCAAGATTTAAGGCTGTCACGTCTAAATGTTAAAAAACACCACCAGTTCGTATTGGGTACTTATTCTCATGCGTGTGAAAATGGCTGTTAGCCTGACCTCCAAACGTAACCCATATACGTTTTTAATACTATTGTTCATGAGTTTGTGGCAGTTCATACTTAACTATGGACAAACGCACGTACAAATGTTTTATTCGAACTGCCATTGGACACAGATGAAGCCAATCCATGTATATATGTATACCGAATGAATTCGACGAGGATACCCATACCGCTTTTGTACGGCCAACTTAGGGTAGGAAAACGGCACTTGGGCAAACCGAAAATAACATTACTAGGACATGAAGAAGGTGTTTATGACGAACTAGTGTTGATTTCAGGTGTTGCGAATTAAAGGCAAAGTTGATCGATGCGAATTCCGTGGACTGATCAAAAGGGCGGTTGCCCAGGTGCAGAAGAAGGCACTATTGCACGCGGAAGAAAAGCACGATGCGTACGCTCCCACTGGATTGAATACTTGGACATTTGCAAAACAATGCGAACACTGTTTGGGAAGTCGCATGTTTGATAGTGGGCAACGGGACTTAGTTGAGGTCCCCTGTCAATATCACAGATTGCGCATCAACCGTTCTTTGAGTATGTGCACGTACCTCGGGTAGCAGATGACCGGACCGATAAGCGACACGGACAGCAAGAAGTGGACACTTCATCGCATTCGCATGCTGTGCGATCTCCCCCTTCAGTTACGCAAAACAGACTGTACATATAGACGGCAACACTTAAGTGTACATTATTTTACTATACCACTAGTTTATTTGTCATTTTACCTAGCAGTTGCTTCACTATTGCTACATCGATTTCCTTCAAATATGGATGCCCAAGATTTAAGGCTGTCACATCTAAATGTTGAAGAAAACATCAACAGTTCGTATTTCGTAGTTATTCTCATGACTGCGAAAGTAGTTGTTAGCCAGACCTCCAAACGAAACCCACACACGTTGTCGTAGCATTGATCATGAGGTCTAATGTGTCTCTACCCAGTTTGTGGCAGTTTATAATTAAGCGTGGAAACACATGTGCATAGATTGTATTCGAACTGCCATTGGACACGGACGACCCCAATCTATGTATATATGTATATCAGAATGAATTCGACGAAGATACTCATTTACGAAGGCCAGGAAGAGACGGGACCCCAGGACCAAACCCCGAGGTACTCCGCACTGAACTTCGATTGGTTCGAATACGGTGCTTCGAGCCCTCACATTCAGGTGACGTTGAACGAGTAAGTCGCTCACTCAGTCCAGAATGGGATCACCAGTTCCCTAATTCTAAAGCTTGTGCAATAGATTGGGATGGTCCAGACGGTTAAATACTTTTGAGAAATTCAGACAGGCGGTATTTACTCCTACACCAGCATCCACAGATTATGTCTATCGTGCATGAGCTATCAACGGGTTAGTAGTACAGGATCGATTTCGGCGAAATCCGTGCTGCTCCAGAACGAAATTTTCGTTACTGTCCAGGCACCATATGAGCGCATCAGCTACAATGGACTTGGTGATCTTGGAGATTACCAGAAGTAGTTTAATCGAGTGATAATTCGCTGGTTCTGTACGACGACCACTTTTGTTGATTGGAGTGATGATCTCGTGCCTCTACATCCTAGGGATGTGAATCTCGTTAACACATCACTGAAAGAGTATGGCTAACGGTTAAGCTAAAATAATGACAGCAACTTTCAAAGCCGTCGGGCAAATGCCATCTGCACAAGAAGAGCTGTACTCGTGCGAGGGCGACCAAAGTAAATCAGCTTCTACGGTCACCCTGCGTATTATTTGCGGATGACCTGAAGATTTGGAGGATTATTGATTCTCCTGCCGACTGTGACATCATTCAGCAGGACCGACCGCCTATCCCGATGGTCTGCAGTTGACCTACCGGTCAACACGGCCAAGTCCTCGTTTATGAGCCTGGAGAGGAGTAGCAATGGGCGTGCGTACATCCTGGCCAGCCAGCCGCTGCATCCCACAAGTTCTGTAAAGAATCCAGGCGTACTCTCACGCTGTGATCTGAAGTTTGTCGATAATACGTACAGACTGTACGCAAAGCGGCTATGTCTGCTTTGGGCACTTAGACGCAGCTTCTGCACTTGGTCTGAAGAGATTGCCACCCGTCTGTTCTCTTCTATCATAAGACCGGTGCTTGAGTACGGCTCACCCGCCTAGTGCTCGATCACAATAGGTGATTTGCAGAGACTGGAATGGGTCCAGCATTTAGCTACCCTGCTCATCCCCAGTTTACGGGGTGTGTCGTACGAGGACAGATGTAGGAGACTAGGGGTTTATAAACTGTCATATCGTCGGCTTAGAGTTGATCCCATTATGACGCACCGGATATTGCACCTGGGCCCATTCCCTATGTTGAAGCTGTTGCTGCACGTTCGCGCACTAAGCAGCACATTCGGACACCGGTGCAAACTAGTGGTACCGGAGTTAAAGCACATCGCTTACCTTCTAAGCTTCGAGCGTCGAGTGGTGAAATATTGGAACAAATTACCGGAGACGCTAGTCAAGGCGAAATCGGTGTCGGAATTTAAGAGATTCCTTGCCCACTTTGCGGACTACAGGTATAGGGAGCGTATCGCACCCGGATAAGATGTAGTGCAGCTGAAATATGTTACCACCGCGTAGGAATTAGCGATGTGATTCCGCGCATGTGCCCGATCCACCTACAATGGAGCAACACAGATTTTTATCTTCTCGCTCTCAATTCTCAGTATTCAGTATAGCTATGGTTGCAAAGGATATGTACGTAAGTCCTGTTGGTGGCCTGATCTGCGTACGCAGTATGTAAGATGATTGTACACTTTGGAAGGTACGGCCAAATTGTTGTTTAAGAAGGTTGAAGGCCTTTTGTAAACGGCAAAACCAGCTACATCTCAGTTACCATCTTCGCATTGCATACTCGGTAGACACTGGTCTCACAGAATACGCAATTAGCCTACTGGCAAATGCTGCATTGCCATAACTGAGTACCGTAAGACAGATTCACTAACTGAGGTGTGAGTTACGTGTTGATAATGCTTGTTGGATCCACTCCAGGGGGGACCGTGGCGCTACCTCGCAGTTCGCCCAATGTCAGTGTTGCGGATTTGCATGGTATGCGGTGTGAGCCGAAAACGATGCAGTACAAATCGCCCTGGTCCCTCGAGAATCGAGAATGTTTAGTGATCGTTCGCATTAAGAGTCGCCTAACTGGGGAGACCAGGGAGCAAACACCCCAAGACAGAAGCACTGCTATAGTCAATGCGTAACAAGTGGATAAGTCAAACAGATCAACAATGAACAATAATCAAGAGTCTGATCCACAGAGTGCTCACTACGGCTGGATACCGATCTAAACATTAAGGCACTGTTTCGTTTTCGATTCCTAGCCCCGAAGCCGAGTGGGGTGCACGTTTGGTTTGCAACCATAAGGTCACCGGTTCGAATCCGCGTAGGAGTGGGCGTCCTCGCGGTATACTCAGCCCGCGCGCGACTGGTGGTGGTCGCGCGGCAGCGAAGCGCCGTTACGGCGTACAGCTGACACATTATTATTATTATAGTAGTTGAAAGAAAAGGTCATATGAAGTGAAACATGCAAAAGGCTAGGTTAGAATTACACCTAGGAGAAATGTGAGTCGGATGAGTGGGAAAGCAGTGGTCCATTGCGTTGCACTGATCAAAAGAGCTCAGTGAGTCACCGTGTGGTGCACAGAACTGCTGTGCAACGAGGGGAGCATTCAATGCAGCGGCAGATGTGGGGTGAAATAAGGCGATGAGGAATGAAACCGAAAAGCAGCAACAGTGGCCATCGAGATGAGCAAAGCAGCAAGCGATTAACCTGCGCGGTTAAAGTGAAATGAGCTCCAACACACACTGATGTCTTGCCACCTTGTAGGTAGTTTTAGTCTAAGTTGCAGCAGATCACAGAATATAGTCATCGAAAGGCACATTTGCCGGACGTGACTGGAGAACAAGCCAATGGATATCAGTGTACATAACTCTGAACGTTCTGGGATGCCTTAAGATGGTGAGCAGTAGAAGCGGCGTTTCGCACGTGAAGCCACTTCAAACCGGAAACCGGTAATTTTGTAGAATAAGGTCGGTCAACTAGAATGCGCTTCTTCTGCATATGAAACAGATACGAGGGACCAAATAATCGTTGAATAATAGTTGAAAGTTTCATGATTAGCAGGATCATCAGTGGGGATAAAAATTCATAACCCAATAATGGGAACGACTACGCAAGTGGACCAAGGGGCAACATGTCAGTAATTGATGAGGCGCCGGAAAGCGAACGCTTCAGCAGTTCGACGGCGAAACATGTTATGAACGAGAAAGAAATTCTGAAAAGCGATACGGTGTAACACTCTGCTTAGGGTAGAATAGGTTGGATGCTAGACGGTCGCATTGGGATGCAGTGGGTCGGACATCCATCAGTCAATTCACAACAATACCTAACAACTGTGGTCCAAAAAGGAAAAATGGAGGAGGAAAATGACGACGAACGGAACGGAGTGATGGCTTTTTATTAAATGATGAAAAACGAGTCGAAGAAAAAGTCATATAAGGTTGAAGGGAAATGGCTGAAAGAAGGCAGCAGTTCAGATTACTGACGAACACCAAATACGTTGGCATATTTTCCAGAGAAACGGTAATTCCGGATGAAATCAGGTAAATAGTAAAAGTCTCGAGGCACGAGAGTGTCTTAAACTTACGCGATAAGGATTTAGTGTAGGATTTTGCTTGTAAGGATCCACTAAGCAGGATAAATTGAACGGATTTATAGATCGATTTCGTGACGAGTTGGGAGGGTTAGTGGCTTTGAGAGAGGGATCCTTCCGCAACGGGAACACCTCCTCGCTATTGAGATACTCGATGGCTAGATCAATGCCACAGCCTCGGCGAACGTGGGAAACGCGTGAGACCAAGTGTTCGACAAAACGAAGCAATATCCGTTTGGAATCACGATCGTCCCGAAGTGGACGGTCACAGCTTTCCCTAGAGGTCGATGGCAATCTGGGGGCACACAGATGAAAAACATACGCTTCGAAATCTGTGGTAAAGATGATAAGGCAAGAAGGATTTCGAGGGAGGTGTTGATAATCCCTTTGGAGTGGATTACGGGTCGTACGACGGACACCATCCACGGTGGAAAACCAAACCGCTCGGATCGGATCGAACTTGTACAGGCGATTGTGTCGATCTACTGCCAGGATGTAATCGATCTTGCCGAAAGGAATGGAACCCGGTAGACCGGATGCCCATGCAGGTTGGAAATCCGGATCAGTACGACGAAGCGACTGCATTACAATCTGGCTAGATGCAGGGGCAACAAGATGGAAAAAGAGAGGACAGATGATCAAGAACTACAAACACTGAACGAAAAGAAGTAGTAACAAAACACGGTATGCTAGCCATGATAATTAATGTTTTCGGGTCCGTTCAATCAGATAGTCGAGGCCAGTGAAGGAGTACTGAAACAACAGATACAAATAAAACTATACCAGGATAGGCTGCGCTATATTCCAGTTAGCTTGCAAGTTGTCGGCCGGTGGCCGAGTGGTCTGCACGTTTGCTTTGCAACCATGAGGTCACCGGTTCGAATCCGCGTAGGGGTGGGCATCCTCGCGGTATACTCAGCCCGCGCGCGACTGGTGGTGATCGCGCGGCAGCGAAGCGCCGTTACGGCGTACAGCTGACACATTACTATTAATTACATATTATGTGGTGGTTTTCCTTCGCTCCCCATGACTCAGTGGTAAAAGTTGTTAGCTAGTTGGCGCAAACTGCTGGCGGTCATAGGTTCGGTTCCCCGAAGTGGACCGACGGAATGCGCATTACCGACGAGCGCAAATAAGGCGAAACAATCATCTGATGATTTTCCAGATTGGGGATTAAGTCACCTAGCTTTTGGACTGCTGGGATGAAAACGTGAAATGTTATCAAACATTACAAAGGGGTCGACAAAGAGATCGCCGACATCCCATGATGAGTACGATATCGGTGTGAGGCTATATTAAAGCAATGCTTGCCATGGATTTAAGGATCACAAGTCTGTTTTGTAATCCTGAAGTAGCAAGTTCGAGCCTGCGTACTGGATCGGGCGAACCTCGTAGTATTCTTAGCCTATGCGCGACTGGCGGTAATTGCGCGGCAGCGAAGCGTCGGTACTTCTGACGACTTTTATTGGAAAAAATCAAGCGAAACCGAGTGCATTTGAAATGACACCGAAAACAACAACCAGAATCAAGCTCGGGACACTATGTCGTGTGGCGAAGAAACCGTGAAGGCAGCGCGGAGTGGTAAAGTGCAGAGCACTCAGCAAGGCAGAAGCAAGACACGAAAAATTGAGAATGTGATGGTAGTGTCTTGTCACAGGGAACACATGGGTCCAATAAACGAATCAGATAGCCAGTTGTCGAGTTCTAACTTCCGAGAGTCAAAAGATTCTGGATAACGATCAGAGTCTGTTATTGAAGAACCAGGTGATCGTTTATACTGTACACATAGGGGGAGTTGTTGTCTGCTGGCATTGTCCGCTGCGACATTCGTGTCATTGTACGTTCATTGGTCCCACGCTCGGCTCGTCTGTTTCAAGTTGGAGGCACAGCATGCATCAAAGACACATTTGAGACGATCCCAGTCAGCGTTCGGTTCACCAACTTCATTCATCACTGACAATTGGTGGGCCGGTTCGACATGATATTGTTGAACTGAAGATTGCGAGTTCAAATTGCAGGTAAGAAGGTTAGAAGATAAGTGCTTCTTTGAAGCGGGAAGAGCGAGCGCCGAGCGTGCGCGCACTAGAACATGGTCAGTATCTAGATACGTGCTCCAAATTGACCGACAGTCTTGGGCTGATGTGCGCCATCTGTAACTAGTAGCATTGTGGTCAATTTGGGTCCAGGTCACAGAAGAACTTGGCGAGCGTCAGGTGACGCGGTGTGAACGTTTGTGCTGAAAAGCAATGCTGCTAAGGTAAAGGTTGCGGTCGGCGCACTATTGCAGGATTCCATACGCATTGTCTGTTCGACGTGCATCGAATCCAAAGCGGACGCCCAGGTGTTCTTCGGAGTCTGAAAGACGACGCACTTGGGCACTCATGTCACTAGCAACAATCATGATATCAGTATTCTTCGCCACGTGAAGAAGAAATGAGAGTTGTTGATAACAGTCGTCTTGGATACCCACTGAACTGAATTTAATAGGGGCATAAACTGACGCGATGAAAAGGCACCTAGGCTTCAGACACAACTTAGTAACTTTAAGAGTACAGGTTTACTTTGAAAATGATTGACAACGCTTATTTTTAAACTTATTTCATTTTAACGCACTGTTTATGCAGCAAAATGGGAAATATCACAATCAACCCTGTAGTTGACTACATCTCACATCGTCGAGAAATATACTGTATGTATAAATTATCCAACGATTGGTGCGACTCATTCCTAGGAAGATGATGAATGTTAACCCTACTCTCAGTGGGTGCGTTCCGTCATGTCATTTAATCATATTGCACCGAATGGTCATTTGGATGCTCCACGGTGAGATGTATCGATAAACGATACCTGTAATTTTCTTTTTTTTCAACAAGCTTCACTTTTGCTATCACGGTGATACCAGGCAAGACGAGTGGTTCAACTACATCACGATGTTTAGATGGAAGTTCGATCTGGAGCACAGAGAAAGGGACAGCACCACCGACCTTGTAAATAGGACATACATAGTGACCGACCCAGAAGTCAGGAAGAGAGTGCGTTCAAGCCGTAAATGTGGCTAAATTATCGGACAATCATTTCGAAGTTTCAGCAGCCAAAGCGCAGCAATGAAAGAGAATCGGTGTCTGCAAGTATGTAAAAAATGACTCTCCAAGCGCAAATAGTTGAGATTATACACGCACCGGTGATTACAAGCAAATAATCTCGTAATGCCTCAAAAACTAATGGCGATTTCTCTGAATCGGGTGGTAATACTGACCGTGCTGCATTTATGCACATGTTGTTCTTGCTCCACAGGTTGATGGCACGCCTCCAAAGTTTCGAGGCGACTTTCTCCCAACACTGCACTCCATGATCGACCGGTTTCTTCCTGATTTGGACTTGTCAGGTAAAGATAGACTGAGCCGAGAGGGGAACCCAACACACAATGGTTGACTGTTTACGCCTTGTTCATTAATTCAGAGCTCTGCCAGTACGCCGTTCCCGCAGTGAATTGAAAGTGCTGAAAGGCTCATGAGCCTAGATGATACCAATGAGTTATCCATGAACTGACCTCTAGCTGCAGAGGTAAGTAAAGTTTTCGAACAGCTCAAGTGGATGTTGGAAGTCAGAGAGAACCAGTAGCGCACTGACACAGTGCCTAGAACTTCAAAAGAATGAAATACATGCACCGGCATGCAACGTTACGTCTTAGCGTTTCGGCAATGTTTGTAAGGACATTGTATGTGGCCCAAAGGGGGCGATTTATATATATATATATATATATATATATATATATATTGACGTAACGTCTACTGTAGGGAAATCAGTAAAAGCAAGATGTGCAGAGCACAGTTCTACTATCACCTAGCACATGCGATTGTACCGAAAGACAAGTCGAGTACAATGTTGTACCGGGCAGCAGTGCGCAACACGCCTTACTAAAGAGTGCGCAATTATCAGTGGAATGAGTTATAGCCCACATAAGGTTTAGGCCAGATGTTTGCTGAGAGGTGCGGCCCCAAAACAGCGCCGTAGAATGGTCAGATAGCATTCTCTTTTTTAGTATTGTAACCACATTTTTACGATTACATGCAATGATTCATTCTAAGTGAATCCAAAGAAACACATGCATCGAAGTTGATGTACAGTTGAGCTAGTCAGAACTGTGTACACCCAAGTTAGAATGTACACAATGAAAACGTGCGTCAGCCGTGAGGAGCAGCACTTCAGGTTGAAAGTGATTGTCCGCTAGCGGTGTTTAACGCATAGTAATAGGTTTCCAGTTTGTGCCACAGAACAGTTCCCGCAAATGACCTACGTCAGTGTGTTGACGAGTTGTTTTGGAGTGTCAAATCAAACACTTGTGCTTTCCGTCCGAAGCTTAAGTGATGTACACGTCCAAATAAACAATGCCATCATGCGCACAGACCGACCACACAAACGTATACCGTTCAACCATTCCTGCGATTAGTGCTTGACCGCTTACGCCTTTTTGCGTTATATAATTGCTTCTTACTGTCATGCTAGGTACCACTCTTTCACACGCAATCGAGGCAGCTTCGGATAATAACTGAACAAGCTGAGAGTCTCTGTCTCTAGTCACACAAATAATCCGCACCATTCTGTGTAGTCAAAAGAACAACTAAGTCAGCACTGAGCCGACATAGTAGACCGAGATTGGTGCGCTAACGCATTGCTCGTACGTGGTATCGATCAACGAACTGCATTTCTCGTTGACACACTAGTGACCCAGAGCAAAGTGGTGTCCGTCTCTGTATTGAATACATTAGTGGTGACATACGTGAAAAGCAGAATGAAGTCAGATTCATTCAGTATGTGATATGCTCGACTGTATGTCCCTGAGGTGTTCAGTTCTTAGCCACTTGAAATACAAGCATCACATGGGGTAGATTGCACTCGTGTAGGTTGGTTAGAACGATTTAACTTACAATGGAGGGCTGACGAAGTCTGTTCAACTGTTAGCGAAGAGCACGAAACGATCGACACATTGAAACCAAAGTAGGGAAGATGAGGAATGCAAAAAAACAATAGTTATGCTCAACGCATATGCTCATAGAAAGCGTGCAAACAAATGTCACAGAGTGGCTACACGTCACACTTATCTTGCTACAGGCTAGCCTAGGTGGATATGCTGTGGTGCGGCTGTATATGTGTTAAATTCGTGATTATTTCACGCCTAATGAAAATGCGTGCTTGTGTTTCAGCATGTGGCTTCCGTGTGGGATCACTCGTACTCTTGTTTTACATTAGGACTAATGTTGCTAGCCGCCGCAGAGCATATTCAAGTGTGCCCTATCTGCAGCACCGATCGTGATGGATAGGAGTGAGATGTTACTGCTCAAGCACCACTGTCTTCTTATACGCCCTCTTCCGCTTTACATCACCTTCCTCCAGTTAATAATAATAATAATAATAATAATAATAATAATAGTAGTAGTGGCAGCTGTACGCCGTAGCAGCGCTTCACTGTCGCGCGAGCACAACAAGTCGCGCGTGGGCTGAGTATACCGCGAGGACGCCCAACACTATGCGGATTCGAACCGGGGACCCCTCGGCGACCGGCCGACAACTTTACTTTCTTCTCCCTCTTCAACT